AATAGTAGAGACACCATCAGACCCACTCGACTCAACTCGAAAAATTATTTCATCAAGGAAAAGAATGAGGGGGTGTTATCTTAAGGCTGATCCTGTATTAACAGTGATGAAGGAATTTAGGGTCTTTTGTAATTCTCAGAAACCTAATACATGGTCAAGCAGTATAATCAAAGCCCACTTTCTCATGTCTATTCAGTCAGTATGTTACGTATCTGTACACAAGACACACCAAAGCATATTGTTAATTTTAACAGACGAAACCAGACTTTTTTATAATATGACACCAGACAGAAATTTTAAGTTCAAAGGTGAGAATTTTTCTGGTGGAAAAATGTCTAAGACAAGACTAATCATGGTTGCTGCAAATATGACAGGATCCTATAAAAAGAAGCTTTTAGTTATAGGCAAATCTAAGAAAACAAAAGGCTTCCTAGTTTTGGTTGATTATTGTCCTGCTCATCCTGCTGTTAATATAATCTGAGATGCATTAAACTTGTGTTCTTACCACAAAATGTTACATCTGTACTGCAACCTATGGACCAAGGTGTAATACGATGTTTAAAATCTCATTATAGAAGACTGCAAGTTTTAAAGTTAATACGAATTCTTGCCATGCCATCTTGATGATATCAGAAGCAAGGGAATAAGTTTCACAAAAAACTGTAGCTAACATCTTTAGACTTCTTAAGAATATTCTCAGATGATGTGACTGAAAACTGAAGAGAACAATATTTCTTTGGCTCATTAGGCCGAGAATTTATGACCTGCTTTCTTTAGTACTGAAGCAGAGGAGTTTACTGATGTAGATAACTCTATTGCAATTTTTGCAACAGCTATAGAAGCTGATATTGTACAAAAAATTAAAGAAGCAAATGACGAGGAACAGGAAGAGACTGAAGAACAATTGACAGTGCTGACTTTGAATGATAGTCTCAATGCTGTTAAGTGTATTACAAAAGATTGTCCTTTTTAATGAACAGTTTCATATCTAGGAAAATTATGATGATACACTAATTAAAATCCAACATGAACTACAAAATTCATATGCACAACAGAAGTGTTCCAAACAGACTAAAATTAAAAATTTTATGAATACAGAAAAATCACAATGTTCGTTCATATTATATGTTTTATGTGAAATTTATATGTACTTACACACTCAATAATACTATTTAATAAAAAAATTACTTCGTATAATACACAAAAATATCACAACTTATTACAACCAAATAGGAGTAGTCCCATCGAAGTTGTTATAACAGATTTTGGCTGTATAATGAAAAATGATGATTACAGCAAAGCAGTGAAGAGGAAGTTATTTTAATACTATGGCTGTCAAACAAGAAGCCTCAGATAAAAATTATATCAAAATTTAGAACAAGCCAGAAAAGTATGAAAATAAGTATCATAGAATACAAATGATAAGATAGAAAACAAGCTATAGAACACAGAAAACTTATAAATCTGGAAGATGTAGTCCATGAAAAAGAAAAAATGGACTAAAATTTGCACAATAGATTGACTAACTAAATAAGAGACAGAGAAAGCCCAAGGAAAATATATTATACATATAATATATCATATGTTGTGGCTGTAATAATGATGATAATCATAGAGGAGGGTAAAATTTTTTTATTTAACTTCGAGAGTTTAAAATTATTTTAGTGTATGATATACAATGTCTATAGAAACCATACTCGAAAACTTGTTTTAGTTTATAGTCATACTCACGCATAGACCCAATCTCAGATGGTCTGGAAACATGTTGTTCAAAGTTGCCTGGATTTGAAAAGAATTCTCTCAGTTGTGGTAATTCTTTTCCACTTTCGACTAACTCTGTATGAAGCTCTAAGGCCGTTAAAAAATAGTGGTCCTTCAGTAATTTAGTAGCTATATCTTCGTAAGCAAGATTAGGAGCAGCTGTAAAGGAATTCTCTTCAACATCTTTATACGGATTCATTGTCAACAGTTTTCACAAAACAATATATTAGGCACTTGTATTTATGTTTTGTTAGGTACATTAGTAAAGTAGAAGTAGTGACTTTTAGACTCTTTGATTAATAATTTATTATAAATCTAGGCAACAGATTTATTTGTATTTGCATTTGATTTTGACCAATTTGACGCAAATTTGACAGTTTGTCAATTCATTGCAACTTTTACTAAAAATCATAAAAATGTACTTGAGAATATCATAGACTAAGCTTATATATTATATATATAAGCTTAGTCTATGATATTCTATATATATATATATATATCTAAATCAGTGGACCAAAGAGTATAGTAACCATAGATAAATATATATGTAGCAAGCTAATACAGATAGTAACTGTCCTATACAGGAATAGTGGACTTAAAAGCTATCTACGATTATTAATTATTATAGCTCAGTGTATAGTGCCACCAACTTATCTGTTCAAGTGGACAAAATTGGAACTAAGGCTGCCATTTTGTAAATGACATATCGCTGTCAGCCATTTTTATTCAGTGTTTTTAAAAAGTGCAAATAAAATGCCTAAAGGTCTTAAAAGTGATACGCGGCAGATTATCCTAAAAGTTTTACGTCCTATAAAAGAAGAGAAACGTTTACAAGCCCCAATTATGCCATTTGAAAAGCTGTGTAAACGCGTTTAAAATCACCAAATAATGTACTCGTGAAACATAAAATTATCTCAATTTACTGTCATACATCTAAAATATCAGGGTTTGTAGTTTGTAGTCTAGGAAGTAGCTTTAGTGTCGTTTTCTTACAGGTGTTTCTGAGCGATTTGTACACAAACTCGTCAATGAAGTAAATCACGCTGAAGAATCCAATTTTAAAACTTCTGCCGCTGGCAAAAAAGGCAAAGATAAACCGGGAAAAAAGAAATTGATAATTTTGGCATTGGACAAAAAGAAAAATTCACGAATTTTATTCAGTGCGAAAAGAAATTCCTACCATACTGAAATAAATAAAAAATATGAAAAAATGTGAGTTAATAAAGAGTAATAAACCTGCTCCGGAATATGGAATTAATAGCCTGATGAAAGTGAAATGATATGGAGCTCTATGAAAAGGAACGTAGCAGACAAAACGTTAGAAAATCTAATGTTCAAATGCCCCAAATAATTGAAGATGCAGACCATAAAATTACACTGGTGGAGTGGAAATATAGTGAAAAAAAATGAAAATGAATACAGACAAAAAGACGCGTATTTAGATGAACCCTTTATTACAGAGTTACAGAGCGATAGTGAAAGTGATTTCAGTGACGCAGAAGATGAATTGTTGTCACCAGTAGCTAACGTGGGTACATCATTCAAAACAGGAATTCCTGGAATTCTGCCGCTTGAACTCCAAGATCACAACCACAATTATTTTTATAAAATATAAATAATATATATAATAACACTAATTTTAATATATTAACACGAAATTTGTTTTATTTTACATTATGTGCAATGAATATGTAGTCACCTATTTCCTCGGTAAATTTCTTAAATGGCAATAGTAAGCACTCCACTAGCGACTCTGTCAACTGAACAGATAAGTTGGTGGCACTGTAAACGGTTCCATATGAAATGTATGTTGAGCGATGTTAATTTATGTCTCGAGATGTAATATATATTATATTATATCCCATAGTGAAAAGCCAGCCTTAAAGTCCTTTTCATGAAAGAAGTCCCCTAGACGCAGCGCTGTACTCGCGTGACATAGTGTTGCCATTTATGAGTAAAAATTTACCTATTTTACATTTAGCATATGTAATTTATCAAATAATATTATTTCCTGCAGACTTCGATGAAACTATTAAATTGTATTAAGAAATAAATACATTTTAGATAGGCTGTAATTTCATTACTCAAGCCAATACTATAACAATATAGTTCAGATTAGTGAACATGTATATTTCTGATAAGTGAAATGTATATTTGGGCATTTTTACCAAAATGTCTACCAACCCACTCATGTGATGACTCATGCAATAAGTCCAATTAACTAACGTTATTATGACTATGTAAGTGTCGTGTTATTATTAAATAGTTTCAGTGTTTAGGTGAGAAACTAAAAACAAAGCAATAAAAGCCGACGATTTTTGGTCATGATCAGTACTGGGAAACGTGGAATGTCACATTTCCTAGTTTAAGTTTATTTAAACATAAATTTTGATAAAAATGTCCATTTACATAATTTACTATATTTCTGTTATGTAAAAAGTATATTTTTATTTACTTTTATAAGCGGTGTTCTACCTACTTAGAGGGAAAGATGAGAAAATAGGGTAAAGAAAAGCATTACAATTTTTTATTCAGTTTTATTGAATACTTGTGATCAGCGGCCATAGGAACATCACTGTCTGAAGAGTGGATGGAAACTGAATCAGATTCTGTTTCAGTATCACTAGCCGTAGATATAATTATTCGGTCCATCTCTTCATCCATAAGGCCGTCATTTTTTAAATATCCTCCTCTAAATGTTCGACATGCGTGCACTGAGCTGTCCAATCTTCCGCCGTAATAGACTCAAATGCCTCTACAGTTAATTTTACAATTTCTTTTGGATCTTGTGCCACATTCTTATCCGCCACCTTTCTTTTTACAAGGCTCCAGATTTTCTCCACCGGGTTGAGGTCGCAATGGTAAAGCGGCAACCTTAATACTTCGTGTCCGTGAGCTGTTAATAATTCATCCAGTGCAAATGTCGGTGGACCTTTATTTTGTTTGATTAGCTCAAACAGCACAGCTTTTCTCCAGGTGTCTTCAAAATATATACCCTTTTGCCGGAGCCATTCCTGCATACTACTTTTTATATTTGACATTGAAGGGGCTTTGTTTAATTGAGTGCAATGGTAAGGAGCGTTGTCCATTACCACAAGCGACCTTTCAGGTAGATTAGGTATTAATTTTTCCATCACCCATATTAATAAATTTGCAGAGTTCATGCCATCGTGGTAATCTGAGGAATTTGATTGGGATTTAAACATTAATAATGCACCATTTATGAATGCATCTTTTGTTCACTCATGAGCGATTATCCAGCGACTCCCTGATGACTCTGAGACGAACATTCCTGGCTCCTCCTCACTCTGCCAACAACTTTTTGTATGATAAGTATTGTGTATATAGGTCTCATCTAAGTATACAACGGGTCGTTTTTCCACAGTGCGATTTATTCGTATTTTATCCAAATATCTTGCACGCCATGCGGTAATGTCGTGACATTCCATAAGTAGTTTGCGTCTGGATTGACATCGCTTGTACTTGAAATCAATCCTATTTAATATTCTGTGCAATGTTGTGATGCTTCCCTGAAAATTGATGTCTTCTCTAAGAGCTACTCGTAATTTAGCCAAAGTTGGTAATTCTTTATGCACAACGTAAAAACTGTGAATTTTTTGCTGGATAGCGTACAAATCGAACCCGTATAAGTCGAACTTTTTCGGATGCGGGCGTCTCTTCCCCGGGGTGAAAATTTTTTTCGAAGTACTCGCCGCTGTTATACCTTCTTTTGTAATTCTTGTTATAGTTTTCTCTGACACACCTGCAATTAAAGAATGAACAATTAAAAATAATAGTCACTTTAAATTTATAATGCTTATGTACTATGTAATATACGTTTTAATTTCGGTTACCTAATTTCATCACGTTATGTATTTGTTCAATTTTGTCGCAAAACGAATTTATATCATAAAAGTCCCATCAATACAGCAAAAAATTATTATATGGCAAGTACCTGTTATGGCGGCGACTCTCTTCCGAACATTGTTCAGTGGTATTAAAACACCTTGATTCTTTTGTTCAGCTTCACAGAATTCTTTCACCTTCAATATCATTTCTTGAGCCGAACTTTTTACAACTTTTGGCATTGTAAACAATCTTTAAAATGCACTAAGCTAGTTTAAAACTCACAAAAATCTACCACAACAAACGAACTTGATAACATCGACGAACGACAACATGGCCGACCTGTCAAATTTAGTTCCAAAAATCACCGCGGCACTTTTTTCATGAAGAGGACTTTACAATGTTGTTGTTGTTTTTATTATTTGCTCTAGAGAGCAGGCAAAGGAACTAAGCCATACAGCCTTGTTTTCTTTATTTTGATTATGTAGAATTTTAAAGTGTATAGGCCGGAAACAGGTCTTATTTTTCTTCTTTCCATCTCTTCAAAAACCATAAAGGCCGAAGTCAAGTCTTATTTTCTTTAATTCTTCATATTTTCAAAAACCCGTAAAGGCTAAAGCCAAGTCTTCTTTATATTATATTCTTTGTAGGTTTCAATCCGTGCAGATTTGTCAAACCAGTATTTTCAAAAACTGGGATACCATATTTCATATTTCTTTTACAGTATTATGAATAAAATTGCAAAGTGCTAAATATGTCTTAGTATTCCTAAGAACATCTTGCAGGGCACGTGGGACGCTTTCTGAGTTTTCATAAACTTGTATAAGTTCAGCCCATGAAGTTATAGATAAAGATGGAGACCACACTCCGAATACCTACTTGAAGCTAAACCTATGTATTACTATCTCGCTCTCTGTGGGCAGGCTTTCCCTTTCTAAGTAGGTAACCTTTATTTTATTTTTCCCAGGATATCGCTATAAATAGTTGAGTTACATTAAGTGTTTTATTTATAAATATCTATATCTCTGTTTACTACTAAGTCCTAGCCTACATAGATTAAGAGACAAGAGAAAAAAATTGTACTTAATTGTTAATTTTTTTTGGGAATTGACTAGTTTTATGAAGAAAGGTTTTCATTTCCATGGGCAGAACCGGTATTAAAATATGACCACGCATTTCCGTCACAACCCATATAATGCCGAGCTTATTTAGAAAATGTGGAAAATAAATATATCAGAGAATATTTTATAACTACCATTTCGATAATGTATTTTCTGGTTATTGTATACAATTCCTAAACGGTACCAACGAAATATAAAATTAAAATTTATTATAACCCCGGGTGATCAATGAATTGGGCAAAATATACCTGATTTATTGTTCAGACAGACTAAATCTATTTCTGGACAATTATTTAAAAAAAATATCACGAGGACTAAACCAGCGTAGCGGAGCTCCTACCTTAGCCTTCTAACCTAACCCATCCGAGTCAGGCTGCTCTGAGCTGAAATGTGTATAATACTATATTCCACACATCCAGTTCATTTTAAGAATTATCTACAATTCCTAGGAATTCTATATAATAACGGATTTCATAGATTTCTAGTAACATATGTACTATAATAGGAACAATAATATATTATTATTTTGAGTTGTTATCAGGAAGATGCCACTGCCCATCTCCTGTTTCATTTTCCCTCTGACACCTCTTACAACACCCTCGGAACGATATGGGGTAGTGGATATTCTCACACCACCACTACATGGTTTGTTAAAAACCTTAAAAAAATAAATAAAAACACTTTCCATATTAAAATTATTTATTGAATTTTTCACACCATGTGGATTTTTGAAGTCCTAACATATATGAGCAAAGCGCCCTTGAATAATATTTTCAATTTCTGACTGACCCATATACTTTTTAATAGTGTCCATTAAAGAAGACCTATCCTGAATTTTTTAGTTTGGCACGCCACTTTTTGCTTAAGAATCTTAGTTTTCGTCTCAAGTATTTCTTCTTTAGTACACTTTATTTTCACTTGCACGCCCCTATCAATCTTCGCGGGATCGTCGTATTCACTGCTGACCTAAGAAAACAAGAAAACTTTATGAAATCAGTATTTTTAGCATCGTACATCGTATTGCTCCACTCATAAGGGTCGTAGCGTGATGTTAGATAGACTTCCTGAAGAATTGGTTTTAAAAATGCAAAAAAATATTTTCAAATCAAACCAGAGATTAGAGAACTCTAACAATAAAAAGAAACAAATAACTCTTCTACATCATAATGTCAGTACAAATTTACATCACTTAATAGGTAACATATAATACACCGGAGCGCGCCTTCATGAGCACGCATAAATGAAGCATCAAACAAGAAGCTTTATGCTTAGTGTCGTAGTAACTATTACCACACTGCGATTGGCACTAAAGAGTTTAAATATGTATGTGTTTTAAGCTATATAATACATTATGTAATGTAATATTAAAGTCATAATAAATACAAATAAAAGGTATGTATTTAGTAATAAAGGAAAAGGACACTTACAGGTAATTTGTTAAGATTGCACAAATTTTCAAGAATTTTTCGACATTGTTTTTTACTAGTTTGGTCTTCAATATTACAGCCAGTACATTTCACTTCTGTTTCCTTAAGTGCAGAACTACTTTCATAAATGCCAGAACTAGTGCTTGGTACAGCCAGAGCAGCTATTTGCACAATAGACTCTTCATGTAATGCACTTATTGTCTGCAAATAATAACATATTTTAAAAAATGTTGCTTTATATCATACATCTAAACTACTACATTTCTAAATACATAATTATTATAAACGTTATTAAAGTATCAGAATAATGAGAAACAAAAACTAAATAAAAATAAATTGTCTACCAAAAGAATATATTATATTACTCATTTTTAATTTAATATTATGAAATCTATGAAATACGTCATTATATAGAATATATAGGAAGTGTACATAATTTCTAAATTTCATGCATTTCCGGTAACATAATAAGAAACATGTACATATAATTAGTTAAGGTCACACGGAAAGTCTCAGATACATCATCAATATGGTCACACTACTTCAGTGCGATTTCTTTTAAACAAAAACAATAAAATTGTTCAAACTTAATTAAATTCAATGTAAAACTATTTGATTTTGACAAAGTTATAATTTACTCATATGTTTAAAACACTGATAAAACGTTTCAGCAAAAAATTAAGTGAAAATACAAAAAGTATGTTTACAAGTATTCAATGTCAGAAGTCACTATTTAAACACTTATAATGTATCAACAAATAAATAGTTGATCTACGATTAGTTACATTAAAAATTCCAAAATTGAAGGTCTCGTATGCATTATTGGGTTCACGAATCAGTGAATTACAATCCCATTTCCTAAGGATTCGGTAATATGGCAACATTAGCCCTATATGTCATCATAAATTAGACAAATATGGCGGTTGTTTACTTAGCAGTTCACAGCTTCGTTTGAGATATTTAAAGTTAATTATTGTTATAATTCAAGAAATGGTGCAAACTTGTGTAGTACGTGGTTGCGACAGTAGTTGGTGTCCAGGAGGTGATATAAGATTTCACACGTATAACCTGTCGGAAATATCTGCGAACCTGGCTTGATGACGTCATGCAATATGGAGAGATGGCAACGGTACTGGATAGACGATAACGGGCGGAAATATCTGCGAACCTGGCTTGATGACGTCATGCAATATGGAGAGATGGCAACGGTACTGGATAGACGATAACGGGCGGAGGTGCGGGGAAGCGCTAGGGGAAGCGCATTCCAGCGAGGTTCGCAGATATTTCCGACAGGTTCATCATTATCATCATCATCATTACAGCCCTTCACAAGTCCACTGCTGAACATAGGCCTCCCCCAAAGAATGCCACAAAACACGGTCCTGAGCCACCTGCATCCATCGACTTCCTGCATGTCTTACCAGGTCGTCACTCCATCTCGTGGGGGGACGCCCTACACTTCGCCTACCGGTACGAGGCTGCCACTCGAGAACCTTTCTTCCCCATCGGTTGTCGGTTCTTCGAGCTATATGGCCGGCCCACTGCCACTTCAGCTTACTAATCCGTTGGGCTATGTCGGTCACTCTGGTTCTACTGCGGATATCCTCATTCCTAAGTTTATCACGCAGAGAAACTCCGAGCATAGCCCTCTCCATAGCTCGCTGAGCGACCTTGAGCTTCCTCATACGGCCAGCAGTGAAGGACCACGTCTCAGTTCCGTAGTCATCACTGGCAACACGCACTGGTTGTACAATTTCGTTTTAAGGTTTTGAGGTATGTCTGACGAGAAGATGTGTCGTAGCTTCCCGAACGCTGCCCAGCCGAGTTGAATCCGTCGATTGACCTCTCGGTCGAAGTTGGACTTACCCAGTCGGACTATTTGTCCCAGGTAAACATACTCGTCAACAACTTCGAGCTTAGTGTTCCCAACAACTATCGGCATAGGTGTGACATGGACATTAAACATGATCTTAGTTTTGTCCATGTTCATCTTAAGACCTATCCGTTGGGAAACACTATTGAGGTCATTGAGCATAGTGCTTAGGTCCTCCAGCGATTCTGCCATAAGGACTATATCGTCGGCAAATCGAAGGTGAGTGATGTACTCGCCATTGATGTTGATACCGTATCCTTTCCAGTCCAGAAGCTTGAAAACGTCTTCCAATGCAGCGGTGAAGAGTTTCGGGGATATGACGTCACCCTGTCTTACACCTCTCTGCAATTGGATAGGTTTCGTACTCTGGTTCTGTACTCGGATAGCCATCGTAGCCCTACTGTACAAGCACTTCAACACTTCGATATACCGACAGTCAACTTGGCACCGCTGAAGGGACTGCAGCACCGCCCAAATTTCGACGGAATCAAAGGCTTTCTCATAGTCCACATACGCCAGACATAGTGGCAAATTGTACTCTTCGGACTTCTGTACAACTTGCCGAAGGGTATGTATGTGGTCTATGGTGCTAAAGCCCTTTCGGAAACCGGCTTGTTCGGGAGGCTGGAAGTCGTCAAGTCTGCGCGCGAGACGATTCGTAATGACTCTCGAAAACAGCACGTAGACGCGGCTCAGAAGGGAAATCGGTCTGTAGTTCTTCAAGAGAGCGTTGTCACCTTCATGGTAAAATTCAGTTATTTTTGAAGTTATTCAACTACTTCCATAAAACAATTTTTTTTTTATCTTTTTACCGCTTTCTT